CATGCATTATCCCTGTAACGGATGAGGATAATTTAACATTTGACCCTTCAAATACTGTTACTTTTATACTAACATACGCGACAAGCGGGTAAAAACGGAAAGAAACTAATTAACTTAAATTGTCATTTTAGGCTTATTTTCTCTTCAGTTATATGCAAAAAACTATAAAAATTATATTTTTCAGACTTTTAGATTATAAAAATGAAGAGGAATTGTGACTAAAACAAATGTTAGTTTCCTACATTTGATATTATTAACTTCCATGCACAATTCATTCTTTGAACTGAATTTCCATCATTTTTCGCCTCTTTTCTGTTCAAGAACTCTCCATAAAGACATAGCACTGTTTTGTGTTGGTTCTTTCTGTTTTATTTGCAGACTCTAAGCAATTGCGTAACTTCATGAATTCTATATTTGCCATTTAGTCACTTAGACACGAATCAAGAATAAATTATGACCGCAATTGATAATTCTCCCTGATTTCCAATGAAACCTCAATTGACGATAAAAGCCGTTTAATGGGGTTTTTATTTCACTGAGAATCTTATGACTTACTATCATACCTATGAGTGGAGTAGAGACTGAATTCCTCGCAACTTCATAAGAAGATCGAACGTTTGAATAAAGACCTGAAATCACATACCCTCGATTTGGGCGATCTTAAATTAACTGGGCCCAGAACTGAATAAATAAGTATTTGAAAAATTTCTCTCTCGAATTTTTTTATCAAACTTTACTGGCAAAACATCCCGATCTTAAGCATCATGTCTTCTGTTAATGTATAAAAGTCCAGATAAGTTTCTGGATTGTCGTACTCGCATTGAAAGGGTTAAAGGTGACTTCCTGGATCGTGCATCTTGTGATGGCTCCCTTCTTTCTTTAGCGAAAACATTGCATTATTGTGAGACTCCATAGACATGCCAACACTTCTAATATCATCTGTCTGCCTATATAACCTTCCGATGTGTTAAAAGCTTAAAACGTTATTTTATGTCCCTCTGTGATTTCAGCAAAATGTTCCTCGAGACACGATGACCATTTTAATAGCGTTTGATTTCACAAATGTCATTTCGGTTATGCGTATGTGCGTCTCCACCTGTCCGTACCAAACTGATGGACGACAAGCTCTCAAGCATTGTAAGAGAGGGTCGTATTGGGTGCGAAAAATCACAGTCAGTTTCCGATCTCTTAACGAGTATAGACATTAAAGAAAGAGTCGACTAAGTGTGGAAATGGTAAAGCAAAAGAGAGGGAAATAAAAGGAGAAAAAGACGCTGAAGCTATAGAATAGAATGTGAAAGAAAGAAAGAGAGAGAGAGAGAGAGAGAGAGAGAGATGTGGAGAGAAAGATAAGCGGACAAGATGTTGAGGGTAAAAGAAATACACGAAAGAAATAGATAAAAAGGAAATAGTATTTGACGGAACAAAAATAGACACGTGTGAAATAAGGAAAATAGAGAATAATAGAGAGATAAGTATGAATAGATTAGATAGATAGATAGATAGATAGATAGATAGAGAGCTTATATATATAATTATTTATTTAAAAATATGATTCCAAATCGCTACATAAGAGGTCTCATGTTTCAAAACAAGAGCCGAAAACTTCAATATAATTATTTGAATTAAATTGAATTAAAGTACCAAGCTCTGTTCCATCTTCAAGCGAATTTTTTTTGGGAATAACTTATTCAATACAATCCTTTAAATTAAATTGAGTTGAAAATAAAATGGGCTCCGTACCATTTTCAAGCGAAATTTTTGTTGGAGCTTATATATATATATATATATATATATATATATATATATATGTGTGTGTGTGTGTGTGTGTGTGTTTGTGTGTGTGCGTGTACTGTGTTTTTGGGCAGCAATACTTCTTTTATAAAAGTTTCGTAAAGACGACTGAAAACTTAGTGAAATTAAGGTTTTTATTTAATTGTTTTTGTACTTATGCAAGTGTTTTTCCGGACACAAAGTGTGTAAAAACTGTCCTGAATACTGAATACTGAGGTCAACACCAAACAACAGTCTGTTTCATTGTTCAAATAAAGCATGACCTAAAATCATATATTGTATATATATATATATATATATATATATATATATATATATATATATATATATATATATATATATATATATTTTTAGGTCATCGATAGATAGAAATAGACTAAGATAGATAGGTAGATAGATAAAAATAGACCAAGATAGATTCATAGATAGATAGATAGATAGATAGATAGATAGATAGATAGATATAAACATACTAAGATACATAGATAGAAATAGACTAAGATAGATTCCTAGAGAGATAGATAGATAGAGAGAGAGATAAATAGATAGATAGATAGATAGATGGGAAAGTAGATAAATGGGTGCTAAGTTGTTATGAAAAAATAGATAGACTTGGATAGATAGATAGATATGAACAGACTTTGATAGATAGATAGATAGATAGATAGATAGATATAAACATACTAAGATACATAGATATAAATAGACTAAGATAGATAGATGGGAAAGTGGACGAATGGATGCAAAGTTTATATGAAAAAATAAGATCGAGTAGAAGTCATTATTTAAGAGAAACAAACATCAAGATAGAAAGATAAAAAGAAAGTAACAGAAAGAAAAGAAGAGTAATAAATAAACAGATAAGCGAGAGGGCATTTCGTGTGATGACGCCGAGACGTCATCACGCGGGGGACGTCAGCCAATTATCAGAGGCAAAATGGCTTACCCAACCATTTGCCGTCTGCTTTTTTGAACAGCGCCACCTATCGGACAAAAAGGAAGTTGTTGCAGATGGCGTAATGTCAAAGGTCATCTCTATTTGATCAGTTATAGAAATTACTAGCTTGTCAAAGTGAAAAGTTTGTTTATATCTTTGTCCGTGTGTCTCTATCGGTCCTTCTCCACCCCTCCCCTTTTGCACACACGCAGACACACGTACACACACATACATACACACACATACACATATGCACACGCACACACAAACACACACACACACACTAACACACACACATATATATATATATATATATATATATATATATATATATATGAAGACAAAAGAAAAACTTATCTTATCCGACTCGTTTCGTTCACTGATGGACATTATCTAGGCAAATGCGACCCCTGATAAAGTGCCTCAGCGGACCAAAAACGCCAGCTAAGTATTCCATTTGTCTTCATTCATGTTGTCGTTTTTCCTAACACACACACATATAAGGTGATTATCCAAGCGTAGCTTAGATGTGGAACAAGGCCGAAATTATTGGGCAACCAGTGAGGATTGAACTCACTCCTAATTGTTCGAGCGAGACAAGCATGCTAACCATCACACCACCTCGCCCAATGTACACACACACATATATATTATAACTGTATAATAAAAATATAAAAATGTCTGATTAAAATAAATATATATATATATATATATATATATATATATATATATATATATATATATATATATATATATATATATATATATATATATATATGTGTGTGTGTGTGTGTGAAAAGTGTATATAAATATAAATAAATATAAGTATGTATAATTATTTATATATTATATGCGCGGTACTTATCAGAGATAGAGCTAACATTTTGTCTGACGATCGCTAAAGCGTGAAACCCAGGGTCACAAACTCACATCTATCCAACCAAATATATATATATATATATATATATATATATATATATATATATATATATATCCACTCCGCCCTTTAACCAACACTGTCCATGCCTCCATAAATTTCTTGGACCATGCACGAATTGATGGACGTGACGATAGATCTCTTCCGTATTTAGGTTTGTAGTTGCGCTGCGCATGTGTGTCCAGTTTTACTTCAATTAAGAATAGCCATTCATCAACAGGATACCTGAAACACGCAAATGCAATATGACTAAAATCTTTGATGACTACTGAATCCATAGAATAAATATGATTAGAGTATCTCATCAATATATATATATATATATATATATATATATATATATATATATATATAAATTTTTCATGGTAAGTGTAATGTAGGCCGTCCTTGGTTACGCTTTTAAGGAAAAACCTGAATACAATTTAAATATTGCAAACGTCCCTATAGAGGATTTCGAAGTTGCTGTTGAAAACCGATCAAATTAGAGAAACACCAGCTACCGAGCAATAACTAACTTTGAAAAGAATCGTCTCAACCATCTGAGAGAATTAAGAACAAACATTAAATCTCGGGTTAATACATCGGCCCATATGACGGTCAACCCTTCAGTATGTCCTTCGTGTGGATTTGTTTGCAAGTCCCATGCAGGATTTGTGTTTCATACGAAACATGCACATAAAACACTCATACGTTGACAACGACGGAAGAGTCCATCATATATATATATATATATATATATATATATATATATATATATATATATATATATATATATATATGAATATCTAATATTATCTATCTCTCTATTTTGTTTAAATGTTAAAATGGCCGCATAAACACTCTGAAGATGGCTCATGTGAGCCGAAAGCTCACATCAAGTGACAGTATTGTTGAACATTTTTTATCTATATCTTCATCAGAAATTAAAGCAAATATACGTAGTTTAGAAGTTTCGATTCATATATATATATATATATATATATATATATATATATATATGAAAAACTTGGTAATCCGTATGGGTAGTCCCAAGGAGGATGAAATCCTGAGAGCTCAATGTAAGTCCAGAGCTTATATTTTAAAGAAAAACAGATCACTTTATCATCCCTCTATCACCAGATAGCATTTCCAAACGAAGTGCTATCTGATGATCCGGCGTCCTTTAAAAGGGTTCTGGTGAAATAAATTATTATAATGGAACCTATAAGTGGTCTGTTTTTTCTTTAATATATATATATATATATATATATATATATATATATATATATATATATATATGTCTCTGTGTGTCTATGTGTACATGCATGAGAATAACTGAGCGACCAATACAAATTGATCCACGACGAATAAAATTTAAACATATGATCATTGAACAGAAGTTTTTGTGTCGACAGTTCAACATAAAAATGTAACAAAATCATCCTTTCTATGCCAGTATGACTTATGGTAAAGGAAAACTATATTCCTGCCATTGAATGGGTCATTTGGTCAAATGTATTGTGGGCACCAACAGACGGACACGGCTGAGGTCAGTAAAAAGTATTACGAGATTACGGAGCTGGGGTCAGCCAGAATCGCAGACGAACGATATGTTTTACGAAGGTGCCTATTTACCTTGTCATGTCGTCCATTCTCCAAATATGGCCGACATAGAGAACGGAGCAGCGAAGTAAGGCGCATAAGAGCAAGGAAAGAATCTTTTCAGAAATCAAACAATCTAAAATATCAAAAAAATCCTCAAAACCTGCAAAAAAATCGCCAAACTGCTATGTTATGTCAAATCTTCGATGCGGGTAGGCTGAAAAGTTCTTAGGCTCACTATGAAGGGCTGATGCTAGATCTGTGAATTGTTGCATGCATTAATTTCAACTCTTCTTATTAATAACTGAATTCTTTCTTTCCAGGTAAGAGCCTGAACTGAAAAGTTCATAGCCTAACTATGAAGGAAAGATGTTACAACTGTGGAATCTTGTATCCATTATTTTCAACTTTTCTTATTAATAACAGCAGTGTTTCTTTCCAGATAAATTGATATCTGACTGTTCAAATGTCATCGTACACCGAAGTGAGTACTGGACAATTCCATCACAAATGACACTCAAAAAAAATACATGGATTAACAGAGGTATGGTTCCAGCAACGAATTTTGGGGATATGGAGATTACGATGAAAAATGATGTGACGAAGCCATTCAGTTCACTTTCTCTGGATTAACATCCAGATAAGTTGTGCTGAATTTGTTTGCATATATAATAAGAAAGGAAGGCTCAGAGACTCAGAAATGAAGAGAAGCAGAGAGATCTGTAAAAAAACATCTTGACAATAGTTACTGAGTAAATAGATAGATGGAAGACTACCATAAATATAAAAAGTATCGTAAATGCTCAATAATAAAAAGGAAGCTGTGAAGAAACATGATTGCCTACATTTTGAAGGAGCATGATAAAGGGATTCCATAGGAAAAGGCGCAGAGGGAGTTGGCATGTCTGCCTCGAAAGATACCATTCAAAATTTAGTAATTTTATCTAGATTCGAACCCCAACCGCCGGCACTGTTAGAAATTACGCAGCTATCTAATTGATATTCTGAAAACGTCGTTCGGCTATTCACATAAACAACAATGTTTGACGTCTAAACTCGCCAAAACGAAAAAAAATATCAATTGGCAACATTAATATGGCATCAGACCAAATACTGGATGTGGTGAGATTGTGGTCCGTTAATCTTCCAAGTGAGGGGCTGGACTATCTTAAAAACCGAGAATCGAAAGCTTAAATTTGGATACCACGTCCTTTGGCCTGAGAGAAAAATTCAAAATTTATCTTGGCTTCGAGACAGACATAAGAAGACGCTTTATCTTGAAAACGAAGTTAGAATATTATGGAGGATAAAGAAAAAAGACAGTTTTGGTTATTTGCTTTCGAAGGTTGTCATAGCCGGAGGTGATCCTGGGGACAAGCTCCGATTATCTATAAAATGCTTCTATGGCAGGTCTCTCAAACAATCTCCAACAAAGTCCAAAGTCCAGCTCCAAGAATGGGCAAAGGCGGGGAACTGGCGCTTCATGACCAGCTGATTCGGGTAGATTGTGCTCGATAGTCCAGAAAAAAAAACAATTCATGTAGGAAAGGAGACCCCTGATTCTACAGTTCCGCTCTTCTACAGACATATCCAAACACGGAAAAGGCTATGAAAATAAATTCAGACAGAAAACCCAGATTGTAGATGTATATATATATATAGGCACAAACGGGACTGACAGTATCGATTGCAATGAATGCACGTGAAAACGCCCTCCCTCGATGTTGCCTTGTTTTTTTGTTTTTTTCCGGCGAGCACGCTTCTCCCCGGGGCAAGCCTTTGTTTCTCTTCCCCTCGCATCACTTGATGTTCATATCCATGTTTATCCCCCTCATGTTATAACATCTATTTATCTTTATCTATACTATTTACATTCGGACTATTGTCCTCATTTGTGCTGTCGTCCTGGGTAAGACGATAAACTACGTCCAACAGCAAGGTCTCTGATCAGGAGGTTTTGAGGAGCGTGGAACCACCTCTTAATTGCTGGTGTTCCCAAGTCAACCTTGATCCGGGGTGGTAGTACCTGTTATGGTCCCAGCTATGTGTAAATAGCTAACCCCCCAAACTAGGGTCAAAGAGACTATGGAAGTGTAAAAATAGGTCTTAATGCCATAAATGCTTTGCAAAAAAAAGTATTATCAGCAATACATTTTTGAAGAAAATATTACCAGCGATATATTGTTGAAGGAAAATATTTTACCAGCATATATATATATATATATATATATATATATATATATATATATATATATATATATATATATTACCGGCGATATACTTTTGACGAAAAAAAATATTACCAGCAATACATATTTGGAAAAAAAATATTACTCACAATAAAAATTTTGTCGGCATTAAATAACCTATTAAGGTTGATATGCCGTAAAACAAACAAAACCAAACCAATCATCTGTGCTGTTATCACACAGTTTCGGCCGTTGTGCTCTCCAGCCATTATCAGGTGTATATCGATCTGAACCTAGCTATCGTGGGTAGCGATGTTCTACTATATATTCTGTTTAGAGGAAATTACTTATAAAATATTAAAAAGTAAAAAAATAAAACTTTTATCTCATGACAGATATAGTTTGTTTTTTATTTCTTCAGTGGCTGACAAGAAATTCTTTTGTTCGTTCAGCTGAGAGCGAGATATCTCGATGGCAATCTCGCGAGAAATTTCTTTATTCTGGGCCTTCTTATTTTGGCAGTAAATCAAATCGTGAAGGCATTGAAAGCAATGATTTATCTGGAGCGGGTGACAAGATATTTCACAGATATGGCATTGCAATATATATATATATATAAATATATATATATATATATATGTGAATAAAAAAATTAAGTCCCAGGCCAAAATGGTTAATGAAAATACATTTATGAGATCGTGTTATGCGGAAAAGATTATATATTCTAGCTCAGTGAAAGTACGTACGGATAGGTTATCGGCGCTAAAAGTCAAATACGGATACCAAGATCACTCTGGGGAAGGTGTGAGTTCGCCTCTTCTCCTCTATGGGTTAAAAGGAGTAGATGGGTTTGTCTATAGCCTGTTTCGCACTCCTCCCCACTATTTTGAAAAGGAGTCGAGTTTTATCCTTTCCTGTTTAGGATTGGGTTTCAGGTTCCTTCTAAAAGCTTACTTCAGATTTATACTCCTAACGCCTCCGTCTAATATCTTGAATTATATTTACTATTTATTTATTTTTCCCCAACGGGAGTAGATAGGTTCGCCTATCACCCGGTTCACGCTTGTCTCCTGTCTTTTGAAGAGGCTTACATGTTTATCCTTTGTTTCCTGTTTAGGATTGGGTTTCTGGTTTATTTATGCCTTTTTCTTTTCACTCGCAAGAAACCCTTTCGTCATAGTGGCATTATCGCCTTGCTTGCAGAGAAATGATTAAAGAAAAATCTAGCTTTGGTTGGCCATCAAGTCAAGGAGAAAGACAACAAATCTGGTTGGGTGTTGTGCAGGCAGCTTTTTTTTTTTTTATAGAAATCACAACAGTCAAAACGTAGTCAGTTTTTTGTTTAATAATTATATTAAAAGAAAAGGTTAATTTGAAAGAATATAAAATTAAAACAAATACCTTGTAACCCGGATATAAGAGAGTTGTCGGGACCGGAGAAGAAGTCTCTTATATCCGGGTTTCTCTTATATCCGGGTTTCTCTTATATCCGGGTTTCTCTTATATCCGGGTTTGGTCTATTTTATATACATTAACACAGGCTCTAATTTGGGACCAGATATATATATCTTATATCGGGTTTCTCTTATATCCGGGTTTCTCTTATATCCGGGTCTCTTATATCCTGGTCTCTTATATCCGGGTTACACTGTATGAATTTTTAATTGAAAAGGTATTTAAATTAAACTTATGTCGTAACCTAGAAAAGGTTAAAGAATTAGGAGTAACCAAAACGGAACTTGGAAATGAAACGGTAAGCTTTATAACACCAACAAAATACAATACTCGCCAGCGGCGTGAACTAGGTAAACCACTGCTAGTGGTGGACTACTTATACAGCATACCCCCCCAACATCTGCCTACACTTTCAATAATATCCAACGTATTTATGAGGGTTGGGACATACCCATTAGTATTCATAGGTAAGGTATATAACAACTTATATGTTAAAAACTGTTATATTTCTTAGTGTTTTATTATCATAAAAAGATTTAATTTTTTTACTATATCACTATGTTTTGCCGTTGGGCCCCTGATTTTAAAATTATAATGCATTTTCATCAATCGTATTTTACTAGTATTGTTAAACAACAATTAAAATAAATATTTATTCATCCTTATTAAATCATTTATTCATACACTTATTAAATCATTATACGATGAGTTCGAATAATGAAAATGAAAGAATATTAAAAGCACGTTTTTTCCTTTGACACCGCTATTATTTTGATTACCTTCACCCCTCGGCAATGTTTAATGTTTTAAAATGCGATGACTAAAATCGTAATAAAACCTAAAAATATGAAAAGTATATATTATCTTTGTTCTTGAGAATTGAGAACAAAATAAACAATATTTATATATTAAATTGCTTATTCACACTATGTATTAATTATATTGTTTATTAAAATAGTTTGTAAAACATCAGCTAATTGTCAATTGATTCGATATTTGTAAAATGATAAATGATAAGGATTCCCTTATAGCAGGTTCACTTATTTTAATAATATAGTAAATCTTTATAAATTTATGCATCCAAAATTGTTTTTATATTCATTTATTTATAAATTGGGAAATGAGAAATATGGCATTGCACTAGTTTTAATAAAATTGTATTAGTTTTTAATGGTTGTAAATATATTGTTCTTGTAAATAAACATTCTAATAAATAAATAGTGTTTAATATTTTTGTTGTAAATGCTCAACAACAAAAAATAATGAATAAATCAACTTTCATCATATGTTTAGGTTTTATTACAATCCTTTTAATCGCTTTTCAAAATAGTAAACACTGCCGAGGAGTTAGTTAAAATAATAGCAGAGTCAAGGAAAAACCGCCTTTTTGACACGCCATCTTTTTTTTTTTTTATGGGCGGGAAGGTTAAAGATTGCCAAAAACACATGATTCAAAACCGGAATACTTCAAAATTCCTTGCATCGGTTTCAGCGTACTTTCGTCTACAAAACTGCGAAATGCCGATTACGAAACAGCGGCTTCGAAAAGCGCATTTTAATCCAACTTAATTAATCGTTAGTGCTTGAGGCGCCCCCAAAAGAGGAAAGTAGCAGGAGACATTTTTGTCTGCAGCATCGTGTACACCTAAGAGTCGCACTTTAAACCCAGCTTTATGTCATATTTTATTCGAATGGAACTGTCATAAATAACTACAACGTCGTACCTGTTATGAGACATATTTTAGTCGTTGTAGAACGAAAAACTTATAGTGTGGTTGGGCGGTTATACGCTATCAAATATATTTCCTTGTGAGCTTATTTAAGATTAAACAAAGGTTTAGTTCTAAATAACCCGTCGAACGTGTTTTTAGCAAATGTCTGGGTACTCTGCGGAGGATTATTCGAAAATGCTTGTCCCTCAAGCAAATACTACTTTAGTGTATTCAGCTTGAAACTTAACCGGGAATACACAGCACCTGTCCGTTTGATCAGAACGTGGGCCATCATATCTATCTACAACTTCCTACACCTTGTAGCTCTTAGTGTTTCCTTTTCGTCATCTCTGCTAACCCTCTCCTGTAAGAGCCTAATTCTCCAAGATCGCTTTCCTCATTATCATCGCTATATCAATATCAGACTTAATCATAGCATTAGCAATAAGCAATATAAGTATCAGAATCAGATAATCTTAGAAAATATCTATACAGATTCAATCTTATCACTTACAGCAGCATAACCTCAATCAGTCAATTATGTGCCATGCATGATACACGCTTATGCGATCATGTATCTTTCGATACATGACTAACGAGGCAGATTTTTCCCGCAGTAGGTTGGCATTTCTTTCTGCGGTAGACCAGTTGCCATCCAAGGCTATAGAACCCGATCTGTTCTGCTATTTATCCATAGATGGAAGCAGAAGAAGAGGATCCATACCTTTCCTAAGGGTATTAGCACGTAAGTATCAGTTAGTTATGTGTCATGCGTGATACATGCTTAGGCAATCATATATCTTTCGATATACATGACTGACGAGGCAGATTTTTTTTCCCGCAGTAGGTTGCTATTTCTTTCTGCGATAGACCAGTTGCCATCCAAGAACCCGATCTGTCTTGCTATTTATCCATAGGAAGGGAGAAAAAGAGGTTTCATACCTTTCCCAAGGGTATTAGCACGTAAGTGAATGTAATGGATTCGACTGGAATTCGAACTCGGCTTCTTCGATTCCTCAGTCCGAGCCGCTATCCATTACTCCACGGTGCCATCTATGTTGTTGTTATCACAACGTTTCGGACGCTGTTTTCTTCGGAAACATCAAGTGTATATCGATTTGGGTAACGTAGAGGAAAATACAGGGTCACATATTAATCGTGAGTTTAATCCCTGGCCCAGTGGAAACAGACCAAGCAATAAATGGTCAGTGCTAAAAAACAAGAACTAGACGAGATATGAGTTGTGGAACGAGAAATTTATACCTGCGTAGACTAAATAAAGTGTTCAGTTCGGAATTCCATGTAGGTTTCCCGGGTTGATATAAACCTGATGAAGCCTGGGGTTGCACAATGATCGAAACGTTGTGATAACAGCAATATAAATGAAGTCCGTATGTTGTCTCAATAAAACTCGTTGTCTCACAAAATGTCTATTTATCTATCTATCTATCTATCTATCTATCTATCTATCTATCTATCTATCTTTTTCTGTACATAGCTATCTATCAAATTCTGTACATCTCCCCCCCTCTCTCTCTCTATCTCAACCTATCTATTTCTGTACATATCTATCTATCTATCTATCTATCTATCTATCTATCTATCTATCTATCTATCTATCTATCTCTTTCTGCACATAGCTATCATTTTCTACACATCTTTCCCACTTTATCTCTCTCTATGCCTGTGCATATCTATCTATCTATCTATCTATCTATCTATCTATCTATCTATCTATCTATCTATCTATCTCTGTACATTATCTATCTATCTATCTATCTATCTATCTATCTATCTATCATTGCTTTTTACCACTTTTTTTATTGCTGTAAGTGGTACGCTCCAAAATAATGCCTTCGATTTATTGGAAACTAAAGTAAATACAGTTAAGTACAGTAACACAGTCGGATGGAGAAAGTTTTCATCTAAGAAAACACGTTTTACTTAAATAGTTTACGACTTTCCCTATGATGCTTCTACTAGTGCTGAACAAGATCCTGCACACCGAGCTTACAAAAATCTACACCCGCAGAGCCGACCCACTTTTTCACAACAATAAAAGCGGTGTCATTGTCGGGAAAATATCGTCAAGCTTTCATCGAACTGAAAAGACAACTTCCGTATCGTAATAGTGCAGTAGATCCAAATAGGTTTGAATTCGTCAGGCTTTCTCTTCTGGTGTGAGCATCAGTTGGAGCTGGTACAAAAATTGCAAACTTGCGAATTTTTTTTTCCCAATGTATTGAAACCTGTACCCGACATAGGTGATCGTAGAGCGCCGATCCGGGTGGATGAATTGATTTAGGCGCCGTCCATTTTGTGAACTGACCGGGCCTTACCGAATAGGATTTTTTTCATTGTCAACAGTGCCAAATGAATTAGCGACTAACTATGCTCACATCAGTTATTTGGCCTCGGTATGCATTCACCTAAGTTAATTGGACGTCAATAGTCAAGAGTCTCCGTCCTCTTCCACCCGTCCTGCTCCAGTGTCGTCTCCGATGGTTCGGGCACAGAGCTCGACGCCTGGAGGGAGAGCTCATCCGCGATGTACTTCTCCTTCCATCTCTTCCTGGCCGGCGAAAACGTGTCGGTGGGCAGCTGAGGAAGTCGGCTAGCACAATTAAGGATGACCTAGCAGTACTATCGGGTCCACAAGTAGTTGGTCTTCGACGATGGAATCGCGATTGGCTCGTCATTTCCTGTGACCTGGCTCAGGATCAGCAAGTGTTGGCAGCAATGGTCCGTGATGCTGTACTTTCTTGGGAGGAAGCCGGTTCAACCCAACCAGGGTGAAAGCCGATACAAGTCAAGTCAAGTATTTCCTATATGTATTTCGGAATTCAATGAAACATACCCGTTATCATGTCATACCATCTTTCATGTCAGACACCATTTTGCCATACTGTGATTCTGCTGCTAACTGTAAGCAGCTAAAAATGGATTATACGATGTAAGTTGTATATCATATCGCCAAACTCTCTCTTTCACTCTGTGGACCAATATAAAAAGATGAAGGTCATTGACTTGGGATATTGGCTCCTATTATATATTTAAATTAAATGGACATTTAGAAAAGATGGTGGAATCGAAAAAGTAAGAAAATAAAAACAACGAAGGCAGTGATGAAAGAAAATAAAAGCTGTAAAGGTAAAATTAGGCCATGTAACCTAGGGTGGGGGTGGCGGTGAAAGGAGATTAGTGGATGGGGTGGGGTAGGATGGGGAAGGAGGGGGAAGAGAAGTTTGGTTGGATGGAATCTGAAAAAGGAAAGCCAGCTTTCCGCCATTGAACGCTCTTTGTCATTTGACTCAGTCTGATAGCGTCTGGACTTGGCTGCTTTTAGAACTTGATTGTCAATCGTTACGACTTTGAACGGTTGCCTAGCAACCTGATCACATGATCGGGAGTGTGATAACGACATTATCATTTGGGTCACGGATTCTCGAGTGGCTTTTATTTGGGCTCCGGAACTAGTGAATCTGTGTTTGAATATGAATTGCTCCCTGCCTGAACGTTTCTTTCACTTCATAAGCACACACACACACACATACACACACACACACACACACACGCACACAAACGGATGCACGAGTGACACACACACAAACACGGACATATATACATACTCAGGCATACATAGATAGATTGATCGATAGATAGATAGACAGTTAGACAGACAGATAGATAGATAGATAGATAGATAGATAGATAGATAGATAGATAGATAGACTGGACATAGAAAGTATAGATACAGGTATAGGAAGTGTGATCATAGAAATTGATACGGAATGTTTAGATCACACACACACACACACACACACACACACACACACACACACACATATATATATATATATATATATATATAATGAAAGAGTAAATGTCAAATATTAACTATGAATACGGCCAGGATATGCTGACTGTGCTTGGAAAATAAAAATAAAAAATAATTCATGATAATGGCTAAAAGTATAGCCGAAAGCGCTCGGGCTTACAGAAAATTCGGACAATTTCTACATAATTTGTCCTGAAAAAAAGAAAATTATAAGAACAAAAGAAACAATTAAATAAAAAAATCTTGCAGTAACTCGTCAGTCGTTTTTAATGAAACTTGTATAAAAGGGGGTCCAAATACACAATTATATAATAATAATAATAATAATAGTAATAATAATAATAAATATATATAGTGTGTAGACGTATGAGATATAGTTATTGTGAACAGAGAAATTGACATAGTATTTTCAAACCACATAATCTGTATATATATATATATATATATATATATATAAATAATCATACATAAAATCAATCAGCAATATATTGCCTAAGAAACAATTGCGTACAGTCCTCGCATCTATGGCACCGTCTCTATAAACGGCACATATGACATTTACTGTTTGTATAGTATTTCTCCCTTTCCTATTGAAATAATCGCATACATTACTCGCAGCTATGGCACCATCTCTATAAATGACACATATAATCATTTGCTGTTTGTGTAATGATTCCCCCTTTCCTATTGAAACAAACGCTACGAAACATGGTTCCAACTTAGCAAACAAGGAATGGATAACAGTGTTTATATAAAATACCAGAACATTATGTAGAAATATTTACATAGTTTGAACTGTTGTCCTCATCTTTATTTCCATACTCAGGAAGTTTCCGCCGTTGTACACCACGGCCTTCTTCAGGTGATATACGCTGGAATTTCTAATCGAACATTTTATTTAGTCTGAAGAAGGCCGGAGCGTAAAAAGGCCGAAACGTCATGGATATGGCAATAATGGTGAGGACAACAGTCCGAACGATGTAAATAGTTACAATACTTCATCTCAGAAATATAGACAGAACCTGAAGAAGGCCGAAGCGGAAAACGGCCCAAACGTCGTGAATATGGCAATAAAGATGAGGACAACAGTCCGAACGATGTAGCTAGGGCCAAAAGTTACAATACCTCATCTCAGAAATATAGACAGATCCTGAAGGAGGCTGGGGCGTACAACAGCCGAAACGTCGTGAATATGGCAATAACGATGAGAACAACAGTTCGAACAATGTAAATAATGTAAATAATTACAATACCTCATCTCAGAAATATAGACAGATCCTGAAGAAGGCCGGTGCGTAAAACAGCTGAAAGTTCGGGAATATGGCAAAAATGATGAGGACAACTGTCCGAACGATGTGTAAATAATTACAATACCTCATCTCAGAAATATGGACAGATTATGTAAAAATACACGAAAAGCATGCAATGGTTTCAGGGTTAAAGATCTGTTTTGTTGACAAACACTTGAACAGCCCCAAAGGCTTATTGAATTACGCAATTTAATGGTCTGATTTTATTTCAGCTGGTTCATTGAAAGAGATTATGGAGTTATTACAAAAAACGCCTACTCAAAGAACGACATCAATTCTATGAAGCGATTCTGCTATGCTTATATCTATATAAGCAATGACAAGCTTACACATCTGATAATCAAATCTTAGAAGAACAAAACGATAAAAGATATCATCCTCTGTAAAATTCTTTTGTCCTCAGAAAAGAAAAAAAAAGAAAGAAAAAAGAAGCTCCTTATTATACTGATCTTTCGCTGGGTTTAAAAAAAGGGGCTCTTATCTTCATTCATATTTACGCGTCTATCTGTGTGCATTTCTGTTTTTAAAAAAGAAAGGGGAAATAAATTTATTATCAGAACGTGATTTTTTTTTTCATTTTTCAAGTGATGCAAGAGTTATTTGCCCTTGACAAAATGGAATATAGACTCGCATTTTGTTCTCTATTGGCTAAGATTTAGAACAATGAAATGCGTTTCGAAATCATTTGTAAAAAGTCCAATAGAATGCAAGTAAGTTTCACTCAATCAGGGTATTTTAATCTGCTACAAAACCGCAGGACATTAACCCTTCCTCGCCACTTATAACATTAAAGATAGATTACTTGCATTAAATTCTTACATTATTATTAATTTTTTTATAAATACATACAAGTTGTCATCTTCTAATGTATAAAGCTCAGAGTTTATCAGCTCGAAATGCTGAAAATTTATTTAAATAGTTACTTAAATAAATACAGATTTTGATCCATTTATCTGCTATCATGTGTCGTATAGCTTGTCCAACAGCAGTTTTAAGCGATAAATAATTTATATATTTCATTTTAGATATGGAATTTTAACGACTCCAGAACAAAATGGCTTTCTATTAATTATTCTGTCTTCCATTAGCATGGCTGTTGCTAACCTCCAGGAGAGTAACTCGTTGCTCTTTTTTTGTGGTAATGTTCTCTTCTGACATGAACGATTATATTGAATTAGTTTCTAGGTCTACTTGCTAGGAAAGTTGGTTCACTGTGTTGTGCTAGACAAATTTTTATCAAGAATCTATCTTACATATCTATAAGTCTACCATTCGCCCATGCTTCGAATATTGCTACCACATATTGTCTGGTACTTCTGCTATATATTTATTTGATAAAATCCGAAGAATAATCTGCAATGTTAGTAGTACTGACCTAACATCTCGGTTTCACTTACTTTTCCACCGTTGTAATGTAGTTCTCCTGTGCTTTTTTTTTAAATAAATAGTTTCATAGTAATTGTTTTGATGAACTTTGATCTAAGGTGCCTAGATGATGTGAATTTAAGCGCTACATTGGCAACAAGATCTCATCATTTTACAGATGAATTGTCGAGATATAACTGTAAGTTTCTTCCTAACAGTTTTTTCTCGCATTTCTCGCTTATGGAACTCTCTTCCAGATTCTTGCTTTTTCTTTGATCTTCAAAAATTGAAATCCAATTTTAGTCGTTATCTACTAACTTTTTCATTCCTATTCTTCGATTATTCTCGCTCGTTAATAATATTTTTCTTTTTCCATATTCTTTCACACTCAATAAACCCTTGTGTCTTAGTGCCTTTATTGCCTTGCTTAGGGTGAACTGATTAAAAAATAAAATGTTAAAATAACTGTGTTTTTTTCTTTATTTTCAATCTTGACTTTTGTGATCTTTATAAATAAGCGATTGTTTTGGAGATAGATTTTATAACTAAATAGCTTATTTTTTCAAATAAATCCATTTTCTTCACTAAAATGGTAACTACCATATCATTTAGATCAAAGCTTATGAATAAACTGAACTAAGCAATATATAAAGAAAAGTAAAAAATATTTGCATTTTAATAGTATATTTTGAAAAGTTAATAAATATACAATATTATCAAATAGAATAATTAATTTTCCAAATAATTAAACTAATCGAACTGCTTTAATAAGGACTGTATGTCTAATTCTATTTTACGAGACGCTCAGATTCCGTTTTACGGCACTCGCAGTGAACAAACGAAAGGGAAACGGTCGCAATCATTGTAAATTCTCAATGTACGTATGTAGGTAGATATATATAATAATTCTGAAGAGAAATTAAAATGTATTTTCTGTTTTCTTATTACAGTCAATAAAGATATGCAGGTAACGTAACGGATATCGGCGCCGAAAATTCAGTCAGTGAGTCGTTCAAATTCTGGTCAAGTCTAGTGCGTTCAATTTCGCACAAATGCCCTCGAGAAAGACATGAATCCGTCCCCTATCTCTCCCTCTCCCGCTAGCTATGAGTTGAACAGCAGCGGAGCTTTGTAATAAATATGGCGGTAACCATTTTAAACGAAAGAAAACTCTAAATTCAAAACAACAGAAAACACTGCATCATATGTCTGTGACTTCTCACTGATAATAAAGAAAAGGAAGTTGTGGAGAGCCACGATTGCCTACGTCTAGAAGGAACATGGTATTTAAAACATTCCTCGGGGATTCTTAAAGATGTCATTTTCATGTTGAATATTTTCCTTTTTGGTTTTATTTTTCATTGCAATATCCATTAATCACGCATTACATTTAGTATGCATTAGCCCCTTAAATAGGGGAGATATAGTCCAGGTACCATCTCAGATGCTTGAAACTGCGAATAATGCCGAATCCTAAGAGTATTTATTATGGTTTTCCTATACCTTTGATAATAAATTTCAATTTATAAATTATGGACAATAACAGATTTAACAAAAATAAATAGTAATAAATTAGTAGTCATAGTAACCTGAGTTATGTGACGAACAAAAAATCCATTTTTGCAGATCTTAGCAACTTCAACATAAGTCCTTTTACTTTACTTATGAAGTCAAAATATTTTATTGAATTATTTTTATTTTGTCGAGAAGACGTACGAATTGTCTATTCATTTAGTTGACTTCAGTTAAGTGAAACTTTAAAAATTGAAAACGTGGATAATGGGGTTCCGTCGTAACTAGAAGAATGAAAATGTTCTTTCAGTTATGAACTCTCGACGACACTGAACAGTCGGCGCGAAATGATAGTCCATTGCACAGGTTCACGTATCATATTGTTTTAGAGGAATGTCGGCCTAGCTTTCCAGGGAAAGGGGAAGTACAGATAAGACATAATTTTGTTGTAATGTTAAAGTAACCGACTAAGTGAAAGTGAAAATGAAAGTGAAAGTAAAATTACATTTACAACCGCGAGTAATGGCTTAGAAGCGAGTAGCATTCTAAAGAGCGAAAGTGAAACCAGACCTCAAGTATGGTCATGTCTTAGAATATTGTATAAATAGCCAGAGTGGAATGCTGTATAATTCCCCAAACCTTCTGGTATGGGGGGATTCGATGGATCGCCAAATTAAAATGGAAGGAGAGCTTTATGCATATAAACAGTCGAGGGAGTAATGTAAACGAAAACGAAAGTGAAAGTGATAGTAGATGATAAAGTCATGCAGTTCTGTATAAATGAACGGCTTAGAAATTTCTGTGTATAAACAAGCCACTGCTAGCAATTGAAGGCGTATAAGCTGGCTTCTTCATGACGTGTTTTTAACACAGAAAGACACATCAGCTTCTCCTCTCATGTATTTCGCTACAGGATCAAGTAAATCATTTTAAAATTTATCAAAATACGTACCGTAATACACTGATATTATTCTCTCTTCTCAGTAACGAACAATCTTTTCTCAAATCAGATAAGGAAATAACAAAACATTGCTTCTGTACCGGCAATATTAAACAGCATGTGGTTCCTACTCGAATCAAAATCGAAGATATACAAAAGGATTAAAATAAACAGAGAATGAAACATTTTCTCTTGTGATAGTTATTATAAAATAAACAATTAAATCTGTATATAAAAATCGACTTTATACATAATCGATCCTTCATTTATTGATTATTGGATAAACGAAAGGGACCTATCAACAAATCAGTACCGATGTAAATTGTATTTAGGGCGTTCTTCAATAGACCCAGCCAATTACATACATTTCTGGAGATCGATGAACATCTAATTTAGTAAAGAATTATGCTTCCTGATAGACCAAGCGGAGAGGACGACCATTATGTGTATAATTGAAAGAAGAAAAAGTTCACTTTCCGCAGATTAAGATAAAAAAGAAAAAGAAAAGGTAAAATTGATCTCGAATTTCAAGCTGATCTCTCAACAGCTTCCTTTGATTCCTGGTAGAGTAACAGCTATGGTCACCGAGGTCAGAACAACATCATTTCTAGGTTCAAATTCAAATGTGATATTCGTCCTGGGTATGACGATAAACTGCATCCGGCAGCAAGGCGTCTAATCCTGCGATTGGAAGATTTGAAGAGCGTGTAACTGCCACTGAACTGCCGTGGCTCCTAGTGTTTTGTCCCCAAGAATATCGTAGAAACTAGTATAACACTTCAATCGATTCGGTCCATTACCAAACAACGACAGCCTTTGTTAAAGATCCTTTAGAGCCACATAACCAATCACATGAGATATCTTGGGAATATAACATTTGATTTGGTTGGTTGATTTTGTTTAGCGGCATGTCAAGCTCTATGGGTTATTTAATGACAAAATTATATGACTTCATCTACATATATTTTAAATGTAATTTCATGTATTCAGCTACATATATGTTGTATATAATTTTATACTTTCAGGGTAACCGTATATTTTATAGAAATATAGTTTGTTGATGATAAAATATACTGTTGTTGAATTTCAATATAAAAATCTATTCGTGGTAATTTTTTATAAAAATATATTTCTGGTCATTTTACTATAAAAATATTTTTGTATGTTTTTAGTATTGTATTGATTGCCATTTTGTTATAGTAAATGTATTGTTGGCCATTTTACTATTAAAAATCTCTTTTTTTCATTTTACTATAAAAAGTATTATTGGTCATTTTACTATAAATATGTATTGTTGGTTATTTTACTATAAAATGAATTGTTGGTCATTTGGCTATAAAATGTATTGTTGGTCATTTTAATATAAATATGTATTGTAGATTATTTTACTATAAAATGTATTGTTGGTCATTTGGCTATAAAATGTATTATTGGTCATTTAATAATAAAATGCATAGATGACAATTTTACTATAAAAATGTATTGTTGGTAAATTTATAAATATGCACTGTTGATTTTTGTTTATGGTTAATTATTTGCCCATAGCTGGGGCCCGAACAGGTTCCCCGTAGTCACAATTGCAATATCACCAAATTAATTTCAAGTTCAACCCTTTGGTTTGGTAATACAGAAAAAGAAGACCGCGAGTTATACCTAGTTACTGACAACGGTGCAAAAACTTCCCGCCTCTTTAGAGAAAATAAAATGCTCAGCTATAAATTGAAAACGGGGATGCTACTTGATTTCAGTCGGAAAATGAAAGAAAGAATGAAAGAAAGAGAAATAGAAGTGGTTGACGATTGTTTCAATGAAATGGAAAAAGTTGTCAATTTCAAATTTTTTCACTTTTGAACACTTACTTATAAATAAATTTATTAATAAAAATGTTTGAAAAGCTACTTACTATTATTGCACGTGCTAATAATAACGAAGATATCGATGGCAAAATTAATTGTAATATTAATCGTTTCCTTATAAGGAAATACTCAGCATTCATTGACCGAACAGACAGTACTACTCGAGTTACGCATGTCTACACTCACTGGCCATCGAGTGAATTTTTAATTATTGATCTAAGAAAGCGTTTGTATAGAGTTGACAGTTTAGACATTTCTGAACAAGTTGGGCGTCATGCATGTCATCCAGATGAAAATGGCGATTTGACGAGTCTATTTAAGAACATAACTCGAGATTATAAGTTAATGTTTTTATTTTCAAGCACCTTCCTGTATTTGACAAATCTCCTCTTAGTGAAGTCTATTCTATGTTAGTCAATACTACTTCTAATGATCATTATTTTACACAGAAATACTAACATACAAATTAATGCATTTTGTATTTCCGCAATATATGTTGCTTGGACAAAAAATAGAAAAGACTATGTGTTAATAGTGGGTAAATATATACCAATGAAAGTTACTATGATAGATTGCTTTTATGAAGAAAATATATTAAAGCGAAAAGTGGCAAATCTGTAAAACGGGAAAGTATGAAGGATGAAAAGAAAGAAAGGAAGAAAAAGACTTGTAAAAAATATAATTTGCTGTTTGAAAAGAAAGAAAAAGAAGGAAAGAAAGAGACTTGTAAAAATATAATTTGCTGTTTGAAAAGAAGGAAAAAAATAAAGAAAGAAAGAGACTTGTAAAAATATAATTTGCTGTTTGAAAAGAAAGAAAGAAAGAAAGAAAGAAAGAAAGAAAGAAAGAAAGAAAGAAAGAAAGAAAGAAATAAGAAAAACAAGCAAGGAAGTTGGTAAAAATTAATTTGTTATTAGAAAATAAAGGAAAAAAAGAAGGAAAGAAAAAGAAACAAAGACAAAAAAGGAAAGAAAAAATGAAACAAACAAGGAGTCTGGACATATGTAGTTTTCTGTCTGAAAAAAGAAAGAAAGAAAAAAAAAGAAAGAAAGAAAGAAGGGAAATACGAGGCATGAGAAATTAAGAAAAATATTTCAGTAGAGACGAAAGATAAAATTATTTAAAAAGACGATTCTGAGTGTAGTTGAAAGTCGGAATTTGCGAAAAACTTTATATTTAATAAGAAAATACATTTAAATAAATATCACAAGAAAAAAGGAGATATAAGGAAAAAAAGGGAGAAAAAGAATTAAGAGAAGCAAAATGATAGAGAGGAAAGGGAAAGAAAGGATCTGAGCAAAGAATATTGATAATAATAATAATAATAATAATAATAATAAAAAACGAACAGCAAAAATGAAAGAATAATAATAAAAAAGCTTTAAAATGAAAGTGAAAGTGAAAGTAGAATAATTGAAGGAAAATCTATAAAAATGCTTTGAAATAAAGAGAGCAGGTGAATGTAAAAGAGGAGTTTATAAGAAAATAAGAAAAAAAGACAGAAAGATTATGGGAGGGAAAGGGAGAAAGATGGGGATGTTTAAGAAGAATGCAACGTAATATTCTTAAGTATTGATCTAAAAATGATCGTTTTTCAGATACAAGATAAAACTCGAGAGAAAAGATCTTTCCCTCACCAACCACACACAACCTGTTCTTGTTCTTTTCTAACGTGTGGAAATCTTTCTTTGCCTTACTTTCTTTTGGAAATATATTTAGAAGCATATTTTAAAACTGCATTTTAATTAGATAAATATTGTGACATAAAAGTGTAGACAAATAGATATTTAATGTAACCGGGTGACTACCCGTGGGCGAGCTTGCCGATCAGACCAATAAAACCTAGTGAGGTCGATCTTTACTGGGTTCGTAATAATTCTGCATGTGTGGTGTTCTAAGCTAAGACAGTAACACCCCATAAGCGGTGATTCGGTATGTTACTCTTAGTCAAATATCCATTCTAATAAATTTGATTATGTTAAGCTTAACAATAGCAAGAACATAACATTGAACCAATTTATAGAAATTCAGGAATTTACTATTCTTTGGGACATTACTATTCATACTGACATTTCTGTTGATTTATAAAATTTAATAAAACAGATATAGGGGTTGAAGAATACTTACAAAAACGCTTTCTTATAGATATAGCAGTATCAACAAATATATATATATATATATATATATATATATATATATATATATATGTGTAGGTAGTAATCCGTTGGTATATAATTCAAGTGAATCCTATTAACACAATATAAAATATTAAATAATAAGTATTAAAACTAATTCACACATCGAACTCAATGTTTTTTTTAATAAACAGAGCAATATATTACATGCAATCGAAATTAAGATACCATTATTCAAATGATCATTTTCACCTTTTCAATTCTTCATTTTCTATTTCCCTTTTCTTTCTTTCTTTTTTCCTTTCTTTCTTTCCCCTGTCTGGGCTTTTTTTATTTCAATAATTTATCATTCATTGACTGTTTTAAAAATCCTGTAAATTTAATTTTACAAGGTGAACATGACCATTTATATAATGGTATCTTAATTTCTATTGTACGTTATATATATATATATATATATATATATATATATATATATATTGTGTGTGTGTGTATTACCATTACATTACCATACCTCAACGACTCTGACAAGGAGACTTAAAATTTTCGAATGAATGATTATAGTTCAATCTCCCAAAATTTAAAGAAACATTCCAGTCCAAATTCACGATTTAGAGAAATATTACACAATACAACTATACTCCACCACGAAAATATAAACAAAAACAAAAAAATAAAAATTATGGAAGCCCTTTACATAAAAACATTTCTGCCAAAAATAAATAAAATCAATCACGAGTATATCCACAATGTTCTAAAATGTTTATAACTGCAAGATTTTAAAATATCTAAACTGTAATTCTTAAAACTTGAAAACAATATTTGAAAACAAATATCATTTTTAATAAGAATTTACATAAATTAAGTTACCTCCCTTACATATCGATAAATCTTTTGAATTTTACAGCGTTCATGTTCACATAATCATAACTTACATTAATATTTTCATCTTTGCAAGTAAGTACTTGGGAATACAAAAATAATATGGATAATCAGTTTTTTCATGATCAATTTTGTACAGACACTCAGAAATTGATTCGTTAACTTGAGAGGATTAAAATAAAAAAATAAATAAACAAAATTTGTCTAGATTATCCAACCAAACATGCTTGTATGAAGATATGCTGCCTAAATACACACACACACACACACACACACACACACACACACACACACACATATATATATATATATATATATATATATATATATATATATATATATGTCAAGAAAAATTGAAGGAAAAATGTTAGTCTTTCTTAAAAGTGATGCGACGGAAAACTTTTGGAAAAGGGCATCCCGAAGAATATCTAGACTTTGTTTTTATTCAACCATTTCGACAAATATGTTCCTCAGCTTTTCTAATGGTTTTGTGGAGTCGTTTAATCTTCAAATATTAATTTTTCTTTTTTCGTATCCCCTGAAAAGACAAGAAATTTTATGTTCTTTTGCGCAAAACTCATTTTTCTGAGTCAATCGAGATTAGAGAAATGCTCATTTCGCTGAAGAAGCTGGCCTCATTTAACAGAGAAAGTTCTAAGTATAAGTTTTAAATCTTGATGAAAAACAAGAAATGTAAAGATACTAACTCATGGTGCAGATAACATTTTAACTGAAAGAAATCAGCAGTAATTATTAGGGACATTGAACCGTACTTACTTTTTACCAGAAACGATATAAAAAAAACACAAGTTTAATTTATTTAAATGTTATTCACCAGAAATATAATCACCTTCGAGTAAAACTCTTGCAGCCAAACGGGAAGGTAAATTTTCGATTCTACGTTTAAAGAATTCTAGCTTTTGTCCAAAAAATTCTTTGGTTCTGAATATTCTGCCACTCAGTAAACATTCCCGTGAGAGAAACAAATGAAAATCTATCGTTGTTAAAATCTGATGAGTAAGGACATGAAAGAATCTTCCATCCTAACGACTGTATTTTTTTCTTGGGTTTGTTTTACTGAGGGCAACCTTGAATTGTCATGCTAAAGAATAACATATTTTCTGTTTACTAAAGCAAGACACTCGACCTAATACTTTACTGTAGAGATTTTTGATAAAATCCGAAGAAGAATTTGCAATGTTATCGGACCTGACCTGGCCTCTTGGTTTCAGCCACTTTCCTACTACTCTAAAGTAGTTTCCTTATGGCTTTTCTATAAATCTTTTCATAGTAAATGAAATGTTCCGGATTTTCATGGTAATAGTGATACCACGACTTTACGAATTTAAACGCAGTACTAGACAGAAAGTGAGGAGACCAGAAGAAAGCGCGGTAAGACTATAAACTACGTCCAACAGCAAGGCCTCTGATCAGGAGGTTTCGAGGAGCGGGGAACCACCTCTTAATTGCTGGTGTTCCCCGGTCTACTCTGACCCGGTGTGGAAGCACTTGTTAGGGTCCCAAATATAGGTAAATATTTAACTCCCAAACTGAGGTCAAAACACTATGAAAATGGAAAAATAGGTTTTATATACGAGAAAAATTTTGTTAAAAAAATCATTACCAGCAATACATTTTTGGAAAAAAAAAAATATTACCAGCTATACATTTTTTTAACAAAACAAAATATTACCAGAAATTAAAATTTTGTCGGTATTAAATAACCCATTGAAGTTGATATACTGTAAAACAAACGAAACGAAACCAAAACAAACGAAACGAAACCAGAAGCAAGCAACTCACAACCTTCCTGGCAGGATTGAGAGAATGGATAATGGAGCAGAGTTTGGGAGAGATATCAGACAAAAATTATTAAGAGCGACAGTGGTGAGAAAATTGTGGAGAGCTAAGATCACCAACGTCCTTAAAGGATGGCACATAGAAGAAGAAGAAGAAGAAGAAGAAGAAGAAGAAGAAGAAGAAGAAGACTAGATTGGCAGTTAGGTCTCTTTGTTCTACAGTTGAAATTCCTCGATGTAACCGTTTGTGGAATTCTGTCCCAGCCTCGTGCTTCCCAGTGAAATTTGATATTCAAAATTTTAAATGCAATATCAGTCGTTATCTTTTGTCATCTTAATTCCTGTTCTTTTATTGTTATCGCTACTTAATAATGTCTTTCTTTTGCTAATATTCTTTAACATTGAGTAAGGCCTTTTAGTCTTAGTGGCTTTATTGCCTTGCTTGGGAGGAAATGATTATGATAAAAAATCTTATGACCTTCAGCGTACGCTTTTTTTATTTCTTTATTAATATGTGAACATTGACCTTTTAACTTAAAAAAAAGAACTGTATATATTCTCTTTGTTATATTCTGCTTGTATAGCGTCAGTTTTTTTGCGATTTGGGAACTTTATTGAAAACTTATAAACTGAAAATTCCTGGGACGGATAGCAAGTAACTGTAATCGCGGATACTGAAGGAGTACACAATACTTAATATATATATATATATATATATATATATATATATATATATATATATATATATATATATATATATATGTGTGTGTGTGTGTGTGTGTGTGTGTGTTTGTCTTTTTGATTTTCATTGATTTAGAGGGGAATTCTATCATTCTCCGTATATATAAGATGAACATAAAAACCTATATGGATCAATTACGCAACGTATTATGTACATTTTCATTGCAATTTTACATCGATTAAAAAGCGTTATATATATATATATATATATATATATATATATATATATATATATATATATATATATATATATATTATACATATATCTATCTATCTATCTATATATATATATATATATATATATATATATATATATATATATATATATATATATATATATATATATATATAAGCGTTATATATATATATATATATATATATATATATATATATATATATATATATATATATATATATATATATATATATATATATATATATATATATATATATATATATATATATATATATATATATATATATATATATATATATATATATATATATATATATATAT